GGGCCGGGGACGGCCAGAGGCCGCGTCTGCTCCTCGGCCAGGGCGGAGGGAACCAAAGGGGGGGCGTTTTTTTCAGGGGGTGGGGAAAGAAGTTTGTACCCTTCCTAGAAAAGCCGCGGGGAAGCGGGAGCAACAGGGTCCTTGATTGCGCCCCGGGACAAACCGTTTGCTGCGAGGGGGGAGCGGGCAGCTCGGAGGGCCCGAGGCGCAGGGCGGGCGGCGGGAGGCCAGCCGGGGCAGCCCGCGCTCAGGAGACGGAAGATGACCCACCTGCAAGCCGGGCTGTCCCCGGAGACCCTGGAGAAGGCGCGCCTGGAGCTCAACGAGAACCCGGACACGCTGCACCAGGACATCCAGGAGGTGCGGGACATGGTCATCACCAGGCCGGACATCGGCTTTCTGCGCACGGACGACGCCTTCATCCTGCGCTTCTTGCGGGCCAGGAAGTTTCACCACTTCGAGGCCTTCCGCCTGCTGGCCCAGTACTTCGAGTACCGGCAGCAGAACCTGGACATGTTCAAAAGCTTCAAGGCCACGGACCCCGGCATCAAGCAGGCGCTGAAGGACGGCTTCCCCGGCGGCCTGGCCAACCTGGACCACTACGGCCGGAAGATCCTCGTGCTCTTTGCTGCCAACTGGGATCAGAGCAGGTAAACCCTAAATCCCAGCTCATGCTAGGAATTCGTGTGTTCGCCCATTTTCCAGAATGTACCCTGAGCCGTCCCGTCATAGCTTTACCGCTTTGATGCTTTTGTTTACTTGGTTGGGAAAGAAGAGAAGATGGAACTGAAAAATGAGTTTTTGGCGGGCACCCTGGGAGAGCGGGAGGAGGGCTTTTTAATTTTTTTAATTTAACCTTTGTAACTCTTACTGCGCCAGTCCCTAGTTTCTGCTGCAGCTCGAAGTGCTTCCTGCACCCTGTTACTGTGCTGCAATCTCACTCATTTAACTCCTAAATAATAACCGTGCTATCTTTTTCACCTCCTGAATAAGTTCACTGTTCTGCGGGGAAATTAGCATGAGGTTGGTCACAACTTCTCCTCCTTCCTTCTAAAGAAATTCTTAAACTAGGTTCCTCCTCATCACCCTCATCTTCATGATCAGTACTGAGGTATTATTGCATAAGAACAGCCTGGTGGTCAACCAAGATCAAGTCGTTTCATTGCTTGGGAGCTTTTCTGCGCGGGTGATGTGCTGATGAAGGAATAACATGATGTGTGTCGCTTCAGTGCGAGGCAGAGTTGTATCCTCTGTCACCGAGCGGGCCTGTGGACGCTGAAATAAAAGGCTGGCTGCTGTGCTCGTTCCACACCTGTCACCAGTCTCAAGATGTTTCCTGTCTAATGTGATTTCTCATCTTTTGGAAGGAAGGGGAAAATGTTCAGACATGTGTGTCGTTTGGTAGACTTTTTAAGCTCTCTTGCTTTTTAGTAGAGGAGAAACAATATTTTTAGTGTCTACATGATGATAGAAAAAGAGAGTGACTCTGCCACTTCCTCAATCAGAATTCTTTTCTCAGACTAACAGATATAAGAAGTTATAAATACTCTTGTGTAAGGTAGTTTTAATTAAGTTTAAAGTTGATGCATTTCATGGAACTCAAAACACGTTTATCAGGACTATGAATCATAAGAAGCTGGTTGTTAAAATACTGGTGTGTTTTTAGTTCTGTGAATGGTAACTTTGGATGCATCAGGTTGGTTTAAACCATCTCTGGAGCAATTGTAAAAGACTTTTTTGGTGACTGAGAAATTGTGTGGATCTCTAGATGGGCTTCTCACAGTCTTGGGATCTTAGAATGAAAATTAATACTTTTAACAGGTTTTTACCTTTTAATTGGTTACCTTTTCTCTGTAATTCTAGGTTGAGAACTACACTGATTAATTTTTAGGCAAATATAAAGACAAACTACTACCTGAGGAATCTTAATATCATAAAACTAAGAAACTTCCAGAGAGAGTTAGCCACTGATGGGGAATGGTGTCCTGTTAAAGTACTTTGTTTAGTTCTAGAGTTCATATTCTACTTTTTATCAGGTAGCAAAGTTTAAAGGACCATGAAATGCCATCCTTTGACCACAATTTTTCTTTAACATTTTTCTTTATCTGAGATGTACATCGTAGGGTCATGCAATCCAATGATTGTGAATGCCAAAACTGAAAACTTTTATTCAAGAAAGAACCTACTATTTCATTTGTCAGTTAGATCAGAACTTTGTTTATTAAGTAAGCTACAGTTAAATGGGAGCTGTGGACATTTTATACTTAAATATGTCTCAGAGTCTGAAAGGTATCTTTAGGGAGGCAGATTGCATTTAGGGAGACATGCATTTATTTATTTATTTATTATTGTTCCATGCATATTAATTTTTATTTTTTTAATTGACTTTATTGGGGTGACTTTGGTTAATAAAACCATACAGGTTTCAAAGGTATACAAGTCAATAAAACATCATCTGCATACAGTATTGTGTGCTCATCACCCAAAGTAAAGTCCTTTTCTGGTCCCATTTATACCCCCCTTTGCCCACTTCCACCTCCTCCCACTGCCCTTTCCCTCCGGCTATCACTGTACTCTTGTCCGTGTCTATGTGTCTATATATATATACACACACACACACACACACATATACACACATATATATTTATTTATTTTTGCTTAATTCCTTCACCTTTTTTCACCCAGCCCCACAACCCCCTTCCCTCTGACTGCTGTCATTCTGTTCTATGTATCTGTGCTTCTGTTTCTATTTTATTTGTCAAATTATTTTGTCCATTAGATTCCACATATAAGTGAGATCATATGGTATTTGTCTTTCTCTGACTGGCTTATTTCACTTGGCATGAGACATGCATTACATTAAACCTATTTTAAATTATTTCTATAAGTGAACTAATATTCACACTGATTTATAAACCTAATTAAGATTCAAATCACTTAATAGTTCTCATGTATATGGAAAGTTGCTTATTCCAGATTCCTAAAGAAACTATATTTTTGTTGTCTATTTCATACTTTTGTATAAGGGATAGGTTATTAGTAATCAAAACCTATCACCCTATCTCTCTACAGTGGGAGGAGATTTGTTAATTGGTATATAGAACTATTTTCATTAAATTTTCATAACATTTTTAAATATTAAAAAATTTGTACATGCGAAATTAAAAATGAGAAGCTGTGTCCTGTAAAAATACCCTATCAGGTTCTAGACTAATAATTGTGAATCCTATTTCTATGGATGGAAATGAAGTTATAGTGCATTAAGTCAAAAGGTATACCAGTTATTTAGAGCTTGGCTAAAATTCAGTTGAGTTTCCTCCTCTTACATTCTTAAAAAAAAGTCATTCCTTCCTTCTCCCTGCCTGCTTCCCATCACAGATGTGCATATACCCAGTTTAACAAGGATAATGGATTAAATAAGTCTATGCTCTTGGCATCCTCTGTAAATCATTATCATTGGGATACGAGCATAAGAACTGCCCTGAAACCTGCAGGACAGCTGCTTTTCCGGCAGTACCAGCTCTTCTCCTGCTTTTGGCCTGATTCCCCTTTCTTCTTCCACTCTGTAGCCTCAAGTCCTGTCTGACTTGACTCCTACAGAAGTTTCTACCTTCTCTAGGTGTTTACCTTACTATTGCTCCGTTAGGTGGGTAGCCACGTGCCAGATCCTCTCATTCCTCCCCTGTTCTGTGAGTCAGATGCTCTTACCTTCCTGCTGTGATCCTGCCAGGCCAAGCAACCTGAGTCTCTTGAGAAAAGTGACTGTATATCTGAATGTAATTCTGACCACCTTCCATGAACTGTTCAGTGACTTACCTGGTTTTCAACAACTTAAAAAAAAGTAGCATTGTTTTAAAGAAACAATAGGTGGGAATGTCCACAATTACAGAGTGAAATTTGAGAAATGAGGTAGAAAAAAGGCCCCCCCATTTTACTGGAAAACAGGTTATTTGCAGCTTCCCAAGGGAAAGGGATGATTTTTAAAATAAGGTTTGAAAAACTTGTGAATACCTCTAAAATAATCTGTGTAACAAAAAGACTAAGTTTCATGTTATTATCTTTATAAGAGCACTTGAGCTAGAGTTAATGCTCAATCAATATTTCTTGAGTTGAATTCCGTTATGCATTTAAAAAATAATTCTAAGTGGGGAGTTACCTAATATATACTTTCTGCTATATTAAATTTGTAGGACAGTTCTCTCTGCTTCTCAGGAGACCAGAAATAGTAAATGTGTGTGAGATGGTGACTATAAATAAAACAGTGTCTCCTTCTGCTGCAATATAATGCAGGTCAGTTTCAGCATATTGAATTGGACCATTTCCAAGGCCTTTACAAGAGGCATGGAATTTTCAGGAAGAACCAAGGTAAAATAATATTTACAGTGTACCCACCTTCTAATAAATCTAAAGAAAATGAAATACTGAAATGTCAAAGTGACTTTCAGTTTGGTTTGTGGTTCTTTCTAAAAAGAATAAAACAGGCTTAGATGACTTATTACATTTACTGAGCAGGTTCTCCTTGGAAAAATATTCACATAATTTTATCTCCTTTCAGATCATCTAGCATAGTACCTGAAAACAAAAGGAAATTCTGCGAAATTAAAAACAATTGTATTGTTTCACTGCATCACTAGGATGCAGTAGCCCTCCATGCATTACATTCTGTGTAGTCCATGGATACGAGGGATAGTGCCCTGCTTAGGACTGGGCAGACACCTTCAGATTTCCACCTGATTTTAACAACAGAAGGTGAGGATAATGTACCGTGAAGCTAGAAGAGATTATACTACCTTAAAAAAAGAAGTTTTGAATAAAATCAGATCATGATCTATACCCTAGGGCACAAGAGCAGGTAGGTATCTGAGCAGTGAAAATATTACTGACATATATACTTATTGGGAATATTCATGAGCAAATTGTGTCACCCAAAATATAATAATGACACCTATTCTGAGAGTTGGCTTGTAATTTTTCAGTTAGCCTGCAAGTCATATTTTACCTCAATATTTATAAAGTAGTTCTCTATACTTTAGTACAGCAAACAATCACTTATCTGGAATCTGGTTAATAACCGTAAGAAAACAATTAAATACAGCTAAACTAAAGTGGTTCCTGATAGTGGCAATTCAGAAAGCACTCTGTTTGGTTTGTCATAATGGACATTGATTATCACTTAGAGTATTGAAGCTCCGGAAGGGGTAGAAGGCTGACTGGTCAGACACTGCTATGATCCTGAAACTTATCCTGAAATTTTCCTTACAAAACATATTATTGTCAGTTTGTTTATTTTGTGTGGCTTTTTCATAAAAAAGAAAATATTATACAAATGGTTAGCTGTTTGCAATTTGAGATTGAATTATGATTTTGCTTCCATTTGTTAAAATAATGGGACCAATCTCCAAATTGAAAGTTTATGATGACGACAGATTAAAATTTAAAAAGTATCCATGGACTATACAGATAATATTTTGGCCTGATTTTTCCAGACCTCTTGGCTCAGTTTATTAAAATATTTAAATATGTCCCAACTTTTTGCTTCACGGTGTCATATATCATGACAGGGTCAGGAATTTTTACCTTCAAAATCCTGGAGACGTTGTTGTGCTCTATTCTGCGTGGATTTTGATATTAGCTCAAAACTAGACATGGC